ATGCACAATTATATCTTCAAGGTCAACTTTCAATCCTTAAAAGGAACTAGTAATAAAGATAAAATAAAAATTTCCGTTGTTTTTAACAATTTGTTTCTCAGTGTAATATTATGCTGTGACGTCATAATGAAAGAGGGTTGGTTCTACAATAGCTATATATGACTCACCTTTTTAGAAGTCAAATATTCCATTCCCTTTGCGATTTGGAAACAAAAGGAGATGAAATCCTTTATGGTTAGCGAAGGCTGTACTTTTCGTTCATCCGACGGTCTTCTATCTCTGAGAAACTGTCTTAGATTACCATGAGGTGCGAACTCCACAACTACAAACAGTGGGCCTTTAGAAATAACAATAGAGTCAACCACTAAATCAAGTATTACAATCACTGGAAAAAACCGCGCTGTAAATTTGTTGTACAAATGATGTAAGTAATATTTACATGATTTTGGACATTTACATAATATAATAATTCACATCACATTCATACAATTTTTATATACATTGTAAATTTGATTTACATCACATTTACACAATTTTTATAAACGATGTAAATTTGAAATATCATATTTGAAATATTATGTAAATCAAAATCCAAATTTACACGATATTCCCATGATTTTGGACACTTACAGGATATTTACATCTTTGTACAATCTTTGTACTTATTATAGATTGAATTTACATCATATTGACATTAAATGACAACCCTCAAGGAGCGCCGGATTTTTTCCTGGCAAAAATGAATGTATTTTTATTTACCATTTTGTGTGCAGGCGCCAAGAAAGTTGACGATGTTGTTGTGTCGTCCGATTGTCTTCATGGCGTCCATCTCGTACAATAAGTGCATGAGGTCGTTTTCCTTTGCTTTTTCTTTCAAATAAAAATCAAAAAGTSTTTATAAACAAAAATATCTTTGATTTCTCACACTGARTGATAAATCRATTTCTAATTCCCAACGCGGAGCAAGGTAGCAAGAGAAAGTGAGGGGATGTGAAGAGTTGAAAAACATTCTAYAACCTATCCATCCCTTTTTCTCTTTTTCCTCTCATATAGACTCTTCGTAGGGYAATCAACCAATCAATAAGCTTTCACTCACTATCTAATAACCAAATCAATCAATCAAAACTTCAATTGAATCAGAAATTAATCACATTTATGAACCTTTGAGCATTTTCACGGCGACTTGACAAACATTCGGTTGATCTGGTATCCCAACAGCCTCTGCTTTCATCACAAGTCCAAAAGCGCCTTCACCCAGTTGATCTGTGATGGTGATTTGGTTACGGTCGATTTCCCACCTTTCTTCATAGATGAGCTCGTGAAGATCTTTGAGAAAACAAGACATGTGTAAGTTAGAATATTTAGCGCTGTAGAATCCATCATGCAATCCATGGGAACTTAATTGTCACTAGCTGAGTAGAAACTGTTTTTTCTGGCTAGTTTGTCGTGCGTCTGAAGTTAGCGATGAGCTGATATTTCGAAAATTTGACAATCTCTCGTTCTATCATTCATAATGGTTTTTAGACACTGAGTTTAWTAAGTAGTAATACATACAATGGCGGACATAATGTGCCGTCGCCTGTGCTAAAGATGGAGTATGTTCTGTACAAGATCGTATATCTCTGTACATCTTTACATATTAAAACCATTGCTTCCCCCGATACAATGAAGGTCTTCACCTGACAAGGGACAACACTGAATCAGGGGGGGGGGGGGAAGAAGAGAGCACTCTACATATGCAATTTCAGCTCATTCGCGGGAACMCTTTTTTTCCAAATTGTATATCTTTTCTCTGTGGAGTGTGCAATATTTCTAATGGGTCTAGCTGGATTCCTTACCATTGTCTGTAATATTGATATCAGCAGCAGTTTTTTTCTTAAACGAAGAGGAACTACTGTCGTTTGAACAAGATGTCTGTCTACAGGTAKTGCCGCTTTCTCTGTAGTCATAAGTCACGTCGGTGCTGTAAAATTGCAGTTCGTGAGCGATTTCTTGTTTTCTATGTTTTCTSCCTGTTCTACGAACGAAGATGAATGCAATAACAAGTCCAATGACTCCAGCAAGGCATGATAGGAAGATTAGCAGTATCATTAGTGTTGGGTCGTTTTCTTGGTCATCGTTTAGAAACGCATATTTCTGATCTTTAGGCGGACCTTTTGGGACTTTAGAGGAGGCGGATGTGCTGGAGGAATCTAGTGGACGATTAGAATAAGAATCCTTTAAAAATTATTAGTTATACAATCATTGCCAAGATGCTTGGACCATTCAATTGAATTCCCTTATTTTAAGCAATACCAGCACACAATTTTTCAATTTCTTTGCGATTTCTAAAAGAAAAAATCTTTTCAGGACGAAATAACCTCCGCATTTCGTCCTTTTACATCCCATAATTTTTCCTGACTCATCTTAGCGATGAGTCTGTTTTCTTACCGTTTGTGACTTTAGAAGTTGCACCATAGATTCTCGTTTCCTCGTGTAAAAAGGCGCTCCTATAATCCAGTCCTTGATCATTTGACGCACAACACGTGTACAGTCCAAAGTCTTTCTCAGTCACATTGACGATATTCAAAACAGAGTGATAAATCTCCAAATCTTTACTGGGCGACATCGTGTAAGTTCTTGGTCGAGAAAAAGTGTGATTAGACACTATCTCACGAGAAAAAGGATCGATCTCCAGATGAAGTTGCGAATACGTTTTGGGAGCCCTGTGCCATTTCATCCAAATTATGTCGGGTATTGTGCCGAGTGACCGCACCGTACACTCCAGCGCTGCGTKTTTGCCAACTTGAACGCTTGTATTGCGTAGAATATTCTTCAGAACATATGGTCTTACGGCAATCTTTGCTGTTGAAAAATGCATATTGAGTTTTATCATTGTATGAARTTTAATTRWTCTTGTCGACAACGGATGACACTTGGAGCGGGAACATCCGCCATCTTGGTATCAATACCTTGATGCACTTCAAAACACAACACGCCATTACTGGAAAAGACCATTAATCAATGTTTTCCGTCAGAGAGCGTAATCATGTGGTTGCTTACCTTGGACTAAAAGACGAAATGAYCGACTCACAGACCCAAATGAATTCGAGACAGTACAATTGTATATACCAGAGTCTGGTTTGACTAGGTTTTGTAGGCGCAGATATGGTAAGTTCGTCTTCATTGCTGGGTCAAGTTTGCGTACACCAATAGGTTCATTATTCTTGAGCCAGYGATATGTCAGTGGTTTTGCGCCAGTGGAGTTACAGAAGAASACTGTGGGCTCGTYRTYCATTGCTGACACTATGTGAATGAACGAAGCTGTCCGTGGTAGCAGCTTTGGTGCTTCTAACACATGGAATAAACGTGTATAATTTACTGGTTATTGAATTAAATAAATGATATACTRTATGGACAGACAGACGACATTGGATCTCAAGAGATAAACTAGCGCTGACTTGAATCGGCAACCTTCTAAGATAACTGGTAATACATAGTGGAATGACAAGTGCACCATCTTGAAAGGTAGCCTTTGCATCGAAGCGTGAGCGTGCAATGATAGAAAACCTATTTCACACCTACAAACAATKATTCTCAGGTATCTATCATTGCACGCTCAACGGTCGTCTTTCTTCAATGTAAAGGCACGACTACCTTGCAAGATGGCGCACTTAACCGTGAAGGAGACTATTTAACGACCATCCATCACTTTCAAATTTTTTCCCACWAGGAATTTTCGTCGACGAAATCGTCGGAAGWAAATATTTTTGTGCACGCTAACTGGGTCTGTATATCAGTRCTTTCAAAGCTTTATATCACGGTGGAAACAGTAAACCCAACAAACCGAAATACACCTTTTCAGTTGCACTTAGGCCTCGATAGCAAGTTAATTATTCTTTTGAATTTGACAAATGAGACTATTCATATCAATGTTTGCCTTGCTCACATTCCTACAAATATTAAAAAAGAATATTTAACACGCTGTCGAGGCCTAAGAGCAACTGAAAAGGTGTATTGAATGCGGTCGCGCTTAAACTTTTTCATATGAGGAAAATGAGGTGAATATCCATTCGCAATCCGTTTCCATCCGTAGGTTTTGAATTCAAATCTTACAATATTTCCATTATATGATATACAGAGATAATAAAAAAAACTTTTTTTACTTATATTTCGATGTGTTTTATTTTCAAAACATGGAGAACGTCTTGTAGAGAGTGAGGGTTTTTGATGACCCTTCTATAGATTGAGAACACTACTTAGAAAGCAACTAATCATCGATTGAAAACAATAATCTTTTCTAGTGTTTTCGAGAGGTTAAATTGAAGCATAACCTTATTGACGTCATTCGTTGTTTTTCTCAGAAACTCATTAAATATTGACAAGTCCTGTTTTGCGTTATTTGTGAAAAGCAACTCACGTCCACGGGTTTCGTGTCGAGAAAAATACACCAAAATGACTTATGAAAGGAGTCTCTGTCATGACTTCAAAAAGCTTTAATATATCGTGCAAGAA